ATGGCTCAGTGGTTGAGCACTGACCCATACACCAAGAGGTGGCAGGTTTGATTCCCGGTCGGGGCACTTGCCCAGGTTGTGGGCCTGACCCCCAGTGCGGGGCATGTAGGAGGCGGCTAATCAATGTTCTCTCTCACTGGTGTTTCTCTCTCTCTCCCTCTCTTTTCCTCTCTAACATCAATAAAGAAAAGGGAAAAAAAGACATCAGGGTTCCTTAAAGAAATCCAGGGTTGGGACAGGAAAAGCAAAAATAAGCCTAGAATATTTTTGGGTACCAAAAAATAAAGAAGTGCTAAAGACAAATTATAGAAACATGTCAAAAAAGATAAGGAGCCAATCTGAAAGGGCTCTCAATAGCCAAATCTAGGACAATTTCAAGTAAAAAATAAACAATAATTATAATGAATCACAGTCCATAGAATGAAATAAGAATCCATGAGTCTATACTGGTAGGTAAATATATGTATAAATGGAGGAGTAGGGAAAGCTGGTCCTTATAGTAGAATTACAACTAATAGAGGCAGAAAAAATAATGAAAATAGAAAATCATCATTTAATCATTATCACAGCAGTAAGTTTTTCAAGTAAGATTCATCAATGGATGCTAAAATTACTGTATGATAGATGAGTAAGTAGTACGATGACAAAAAGATATTTACATAATCTCAAAGTACCTCTCCACAGTATACCTATTAAGTACAACAGAGAAGCCCTGGCCAGTTTGGCTCAGCGGTTGGAGCGTCTGCCCTCTGACCAGAGAAACCCGGGTTCGGTTCCTGCTAAGTACAATAGGGAAAAACTTAAGATACCACCTTAACTAAGTGATACGAGTGAACATCAACCATATGCTTCCTGATATGGTGCACTGAGGATGACATGATATCTATTCTGCAGAATTCTTGCCAAAAAATGCATTACTTAAATTTAATAATGAGGAAACATCAGACAAACCTAAATTGAGGGACAGCCTACAAATCATTTTGCCAGTATTCTTCAAAAATGTCAACACTATGAAAGGCAAAGAAAAACAGAACCATTCCAGACTAAAGAAGATTCAGGAGACATGACAGCTAAATACAAAGTGTGAGCTAGATTGGGTTCTGGACCAGGAAAATGGCATTATTGGGATAACTGGTGAATTTCTAAAGGTTTGCCGATTACATAGTACTGCATTGGTGTTAATTTCGTTATTTTTATAATTGTACTTTGGTTACACAGATGTTAACATTTGGGGAATCTGAGTAAAGGATATACAGGAATTATTTTTGCGACTGTTTTATGTCTAAATTATTTTTTTTAAAGTATTAATAAAATGCTAAAAAAAAAAAAAAAGGTATAAAAGTCCATGAGTAAATATGCTTGGCACATGTAAGCACTCAAAACAGTTAGCTATTAATATTATAATTCTCCAGTATATTTTTTAAAAAATTTGTTTTCTTTACTGATTTTAGAGGGAGAGGGAGAGGGAGAGAGAAATAGCAACATCGATGAGAGAGAACATCGATTGGCCACCTCCTGCATGTCCCCCACTGGGGATTTGGCCCACAACCTTGGCATGTGCCCTGACTAGGAATCAAACTGGCAACCTGTTGGTGCATGGGTCAACAATCAAACAATGAGCCACACTGGATGGGCAATTCTCCAGTATATTAAGCCTCCTGACTTCTTTGTTACTCATTTAGTAAATATTTTACTGGGTGCCTACTATGTGCCCAACCAACAGAAAAGGAAGGAAAGAAAGAAGAAAGCAAGCCCAGCTGGCAAGTATTCACTTACTAAGATTCCTAGCACAGCTGAGAGTGTCTATTTCAAACACACTCATGTCCACTTATACTCTTATTCTCTCTCTTTCAAACTGAGAAATTACAAGTCCTACTTAATTCTTGCTCTCCCCTTTCTATATTCCTGTTCCTAGCTTTGTTATCAAAATGCATGTATTCTAAAAACATGGACTAAATCCCAGCTATTTGACTTCCCATAACTTAGTCTCTCTGACTCTTCCTACTTCTTTATTTATAAAACTGGGATGCCTTTAATCAACTTTATAGGATTGTTGTGAGAATTAAATGGGAGCATATATAAGTAACTGGCACACAGTAGATGCTCAAAAAATGTTAGTTACCTTTCCCTTACAGTTAAGCCTTGAACAACATAGGGGTTAGGGGCACTGACCTACAGCCATAGTCAAAAATCCATATATAACTTCTTGCTCCCTCAAAAATTAAGTTGTCCCTTGGTATCTGCAGGGGATTGGTTCCAGGAGCCCCCTCCCCTCCAATGAATATAAAAACCCAGATGCTTAAATCCTCTATATAAAATGGTGTAGATAAATGCACATAGTCAGTGGACTCCCAATCACAGATCATAAACAGTACAGGTATTTACTGAAAAAAAATACATGTATAAGTAGATCCACACAATTCAAACCAGTGCAGTTCAAGGGTCAACTGTATTTTCTAACTGTTGCAGGATCCTGAAGTGCAGATCAACAACTGCTTTACTAATCTCTAGGTGAATCTCTACTTTGTATTTTTTACCTACATATTTTTAAAAAGTAAATGTAAATAATATATTTATTTTATCCTTTTTAACAGCTTCAGTATCCACCAAAAATTCAAATAGCTAAAAAAAAAAAAAAAAAAAATGCTTAACTTCTCAAATATGAGACAAACATTTCTAACAGCTTTTCAAAACATTATCTATCTAGATTTTCTCAGAATGCCAACCTCAAACTTGAGATTCCAACATCACGCTCCACTGCCACCTATTGGCTGTTACCATACTCTCCAGATATTGCCTTCTTTTTTTTGGAATCCTAAGCCATCTAGTGCAAGCCTCAACCCAGTGGAGTCTAGTCTTCAGATGAGATGCTCCAAGTGCCAGCAAAGAGTTCCAGCACAAAAACTTTAACTCTAACACACTAAAAATATATACTTGACAATTTACATTTTCTAAGATCTTTCTTTTCCTATTTTCTATTATAAATGTTATGGCTGTCTCTGAAAAAAATAAACACCAAGTATAGGTAGTGAAGTGTCTAATGGAGAAAAATAGCTTTCCTAGAATTAAATTTGTTATCAAATGGAAATATTCTTTCTAATTAGAAAACCAACTAAAATTGTAGAACTACAAACAGTAAGAATACCTGTTTTAAATGCTACATGATTCCATGCCTTGCTATTTATGTATTTTCTTCTAAAAATACGTATACAATATTTTACCCTCATATAGCAATGGAAAACTCTATCACATTACAAAAATGTACTGTACTCAACTATTGAACATAGAAGGGCTTTACACCCTATAATACCCTGGAAAAAAGGTAACTAAGTTGCTTCTTCTATGCTACCAAAACACTTATTAAATGTCTTGCTCAATAAATAGTCACAACATGCAAACACACACACACACACACACACACACACACACACACTTTAAAATGGTGAACTTCAACTTCATTGGCGGTTGCTTAATTTTCTGGTCTCTCTTTTTCAAACTATGTTAAATTTCAAAATACTTTCCTCTTTAATTCAATGAAAACAGGCCACCATGAATAATCACAACAACAACTTTTTCATGCAGTAAGCAAAAAAACAGAACATTAAAAAGCTCTTAAACTTGCTTTCAGATTTTAATGCAATTTGCCAATAATGGTAAATGATGCTACATTAACTACAAAGAAGCCATAGGGTTCAAAGAAGCATACAAAATGTTTCACAGCCTTCAGAGGTTGACAATGTAGTCAGAAACACAAGATTCAAAAGGAGAAAAGAATGGACGAAATAATACAGAGTATTACTTGACAAGTAATTGGTATAGATAATATTTACTACAACAGTATGAAGGTTTGAACAGCAATAAGGGCAAAATGTCAAGGGGGGGCTCAAGCAACAAGAACAACAAGCAATAAGAACAAGGAAATTCAAGTTATTGAGAATAATAACAGCAATGCTGTAGTCCAAATAGTAAAAGCATGCTGTTTAATACAAATGATCAGACCAGTTTAGCTAAAAGCAAAATATATAGAAAACTAGTGAGATAGCATTAGAAAGAAAATGGACTGAACTGTGGAGGGTTACTCAGTCACTAAGCGTTAGGCTAATAAATCCAGGAGACAATGAGAAGGTCACTGGAGACTCACTACAGTGTAACATTCCCACACTATGGAGAGGTAAGGGTTAGGGGGAAGGACTATAACCTTATAGTAGTGTTTAACAGACTGAAGAAAACTGAGAGACCAATCATGGTATTTCAGTAGTTCAGAAATAATGCTAAAGGTTTAAACTACAGTAATGAATGTGGAAAGAAAAAAAAAAAGAATAAAATTCAGTATGAGGATACAACTGATAGAACCTAGTCAATCACTTCAAGTTAGACAGAAGGAACTCAAAATGTTTCCAAAGCCTTAAAACAGGGAACAGAAGTACCATGAAAAGAAACATAAGAAAGAAAGCCATTATTAATAAATTTTTTTCTAACAATTGAAATGTTTCTAAACCAAAATTCTATTTATTTAACAGAAAGCAATAAAACAATACAAACCCAAAGGTATAGCCAATTTCTGCAACTGAATATAAACAGTATTCATGCTAAAATATTATGAAGAAACATCTTATATTAAAGCATAAACCAGTCTATCATAAATCTACATGATTAGTAACTACTTGATTCAGATCCATGTTGCTGTTCTTTTTGTACAAATGACTTCCATTACTTGAATTACCATACATTTCATATTTAAAATAATGATTTGAACCCAGTTAATTATTCTGCCTAGTGAACTATATGAATAAAAACAATGCATGTTAGAATATAGATTTCTCAATAGGCAAAATCAACAGACTAGAAATACTAAATTGCAAACTGAGTTATTATCAAATCCTTTATAAATACAGGCTCATACCTTCCTTTTCCTACAAGTGTCTAATAAAGTAATCAAATTTTGAACAAATAAAAACTAAAATACTACACTAGACAAGTTTCATGAGTTTCTTGGTTACCTTTACTTTATCTCTTCTCAAGCAACAGAATAGACAATTTTCATCAAAAGTCCAATCAGAAATGCTTTCAGGTTCACAGTCTGCAAAAATAGTAGGAGTAACAAATTAAGAGTCACAAATAAGGATTTTTCAGGAAACAAATGAGAATGTCAAAAATATTGTAACAACAACAAAATTCTTATTAAGTAGTAGAAAGGTTCTTCTTTGTATTAAAAAAATCTTAACAATAACTACTCACTTGTTAATATACTTATTTGTACATATATTTGCATTATCAACTAAACACAAAAAGATGTTTACATGGATATAGCTTTAACCCACATAAACTGTGAATAAAAAGGAGGAGACAGAGGCTTAAATCACCAAAAAAGGAGAAGGAGACAGAGGCTTAAATCACCAAGGTATCATGTTACCAAGATGATTTTTAAATACCAAAAAAAAGATTTTGAATACCTTTAAATAAACTGAGATCTTTTAAAAATGCAGGTCCAAACAGCCCTTCAAGAATACTTTCAAACCCTGAAAGGATGAAAAAAGATCCATTATTACAATATTCCCTATTGTAATTTAATATTAATCTGTTACAAAAAAAATGATGGTGTTTTCTTCCAGTTCTCAAGGATCCCCATATTATTATGGAAGAGATGCGATGGAAAGAGTGTCAATGACAAATCTAAAAAAACGGCTTTGCATTTTTGTCAACGATTAACATTCAATACAAATTCAGAGCACATTCAAGAACAATACAAAACAGACAATACTAGAAATAACTAATGAAGAAATGGAAACTCATGCATTCTCTTACCATCTCCCAAAATTCCAAACACCTCTTTACATAAACATTCAGACTTGATTTTTAAAGGCGTCTTTGCCAATAAGACATTCCATAGCATTCTAGATTAATCAAAATAACGTTTCTAAACATCAACTGAGACAACAGATTTTCAAGCTAATAGTTTTTTTGAAGGAAAATCTTCACTGAGAACATCTGTATCACTATAGAAAAAAAGCCATTACATAATATTTTAACAGACACCTTTGTGATATTTCATATCGCCACAATTTAACTACTTACTGGTTCCTTTATAAAGTTAGAAACCACTAATTATACATACAAAAATATGAGAAAAAACTTAAATATACCTTTACATAAATGTTTAAACTATCATCACCTTGTGCCAATATAAAGTAGAAAAATCAAACACATGCAAAATGTTCCTGATTTATTTAATCAAATATTGATGATCAACGAAATGAAAAACAATTAAAAAGTATCTTTGCCATCTTGTTGTTTTCTATGGGTTATTAAAAGAGTAAGGAGGAAAAAAGAGGAAGGGAATCAGGCTGTCCTTTTATACAACGTGACGGAAATAATGGATTAGAGCAGGGGTTCCCAAACTGTGTGTCATGCACCTCACTGGGAGCTCAAATGATTACAAGGGGTACATGAATCCATATGTACTTTAATCGTGACCTTTACAAAGAATTAGTATGTCTTGTGCATTCAACGTACATACTATGTTTTCAATGCATAGAAATGTCATTATAATTAAGAAAACAAAAAGTGTTAACTGAATTCCTAGTAGTTATGGACATTATGTATTTTGTCGTAATCTGCTATCACCTAAGGGTTTCTAATTTTTAATTGTTAAAAAGTACTCTAATGTTCAAAAGGGTGTGAAGTAACAATTAAAAACACTACAGTCATGCCCTGGCCAGTGTGGCTCATTTGGAGTGTTGTCCTGTATACCAGAAGGCAGAGGTTCGATTGCTGGTTAGGACACATACCCAGGTTGTGGTTCCATTCCCAGTCCAGGTGTGTGTGAGAGGCAACCAACAGGTGTCTCTCTCTCATATCGATGTTTTTTTTTTCTCTCTCTCCCTCCCTCCCTCCAAGATAACTAACTAAACTAAATAACTATAGCCAGACAGATACATGAGGTCCACACACAGGTAGCATTTCTTTACCACAAGTTCAATCACAATAAAAGGTTTGGAAGGCAAGGGGTCAGATAAGATGGTCCTTGGAAACAGTATTTTATCTGGTTATAAGAATAACATTGTAACTTTAGGGATGTCTTTGTCCTTAGCATTCAACCATAATTTTTTTTTTTTTTTTTTATCCTCACCATTTTTGTTCAGGTAGAGTGTGTGGGGGGGAGAGAGGAACAGAGAGAGAGAGAGAGAAACATCAACGTGAAAGGGACACATTGAGTGGCTGCCACCCGCACAACCGACCAGGGCCGGGGACAAACTGCAACCGAGGTACATGCCCTTAGCGGGAACCGAACCCGGGTCTCTCAGGACCACAGGCCGACGCTCTAACCGCTAAGCCAAACCGGCCAGGGCTCAACCATAATTTAACAGAGTAATCTCTAGAGTTTGTGTTAACTACACTGTAGTTAGAGAGTTGATTTTTATATACTGTTTTCTAGATTCCAGGTTTCCCACTTATTATTAAGGAGCAACTGTTTTTCAAACCTCCTTAGTTCTTCCCATCAAAATTATTCCAAGAATATTAGCAAGATCAAACTAAGAAAATGGGGGCTATCTGCTTATTATTTGCCTGCTATAATTAACACATTTTCTACTAAATTACTGTAGCCTGTCTTCCCCATACTAGGAAGAAGAAAGAGTAGCACTGGGGGTTTTGTGGGTGAGGAGGTGATGGTGGGTAAGAGAATGAGAAGGAATTGCTAGATACTATCTATCTCTGCAAACTAGATATTCTTAACACTGGTCTTAAAAAAAAAAAATCTCACAGGCTGTCTCCAATTCTAAAGGCCTTCTGGCTCCCCTACCCCCAAAAGAACTGATTTTACAAATATTTCAATATCTTGAAAGTACCAAGTACACACTGCAAATAGCTAAAGGAGATTACAGGTGGCTCTTATCCTGAAGAGCAAATCTAATATGCTTTCACCTGGGTTTATAAGAAATTATAATTAATTCTAAACTTGTATGTTAAACATAAATTCTTCAAAAGGAAAAATGTAAATACAGCAAGAAATAATACTGGGAAACAAACAAGAAAAAAACAAAGGCTTTGGAAGAGAAAATTACAAAGGATAATAGAACCTGAAAGAGTAAGAAAACAGAATAAGAAATTCATCAATAACACATAGACAGTAACAAAAACCAAATCACAGATCAAAAAGCAGTAAAAAGGGAAGACCAAGATGAAACAAGAAAAAATTTGGTCATAAATGTAAAGATTTCACCACAACTAATTTTGATCAAAATATTATTAAAAAGTCATTCTTTGGCTGATATCTGTAACAATACATTAAACCTCACAAATATTATTGATTTGACACTGTAAGGCCATGTTTTGTTACCGTCTGTTAAACAAATTTAATGCCACTCAGTTTTATTAATATTAAATATTGAATTTAGCAGTTGCATAGCAACAAGGAATGTCTCCTGTGCCATGCTTGACATTAACAAAAGGCAAATAAGGATGAACAAATGTATTCAAAATTTATACCATGATCTCATAGAAAAGCCATGAAGATCAATAACAAAATGCCATGGAAAATTAAATAAATACTGAAAAAGAGAGCCATGTCATTATGTTCAATCACTAGGGCTTAAAAAGCACCTTTATATATTACACATAAAGAAATATTAATAATTTCACTGGACATGACCACTTTCCAAGAATTCCTATCCAACATTACAACTGGTCTCAAAGCTGGTCTCCAGACTCTTCCTCACTGCAGCCTGCACTGTCTTCAGACTGTATTCCCAAAGCACTGCTTTAACAATGCTACCATCTGTTAAGAAAAAATTTACATTGTTTAAAAGACAAATTCCAAATTCCTAAACCCAGCAATCAAAATAACTTATAATTTGATCCCAACCTACTGTTAAAAAGCAGCCTTATTTCACTGAACCTTCTGCTCATTGTCACAGGTTCAGTCAGGTTGGTGTTCTAACGTATTCAATTATCATTTCTCCCTCCTAATATTTTCTCAAGCCTTTGCATCTCATCTCTGCCTAAATAAATTATCTTCCTCAACGCACTCCTCAATTTGTTAAAAAATACATATTCACTTACTCAACATACATTAACTGAGAGCCTGCCTTCCGCCCAGGAACAGTGGCTGGCACTGTGTAGGCAGTGGCAAACCAGACATGGTGCCTGCCCTCATGGAGCTTTGGTTCCAGTTTTCTCATCCTTAGAATTCATATATAATTTCCCCCTTTTAAATAAATGTCAGTTGCCTTATGTTTTCTGCTATGTGCAAAGCACTGTCTATGTTAAGCACTCTGTAAATTAAATTGTTACAGGCTATCTAAACTGTTTTATTTTATTTTTCATACATTTATGTCCTCTCTTCTCAAAGAGATTTAATGCTCCAGAAAGGATGGGAAGGTCTTCCTCTTTCCCACAATGTTTCTCTTATCCTCACCCGAGGATATTTTTCCATTTTTTTTGTAGAGATAGAATGGGAGGGAGAAAGAGGAAGGGAGAGAGAGAAACATCGACGTGAAGGGACACATCGAGTGGCTGCCACCCACACGACCAACCAGGGCCAGGGACAAACTGCAACCGAAGTACATGCCCTTAGCGGGAACCGAACCCGGGTCTCTCTGGACCGCAGGCCGACGCTCTAACCACTGAGCCAAACCGGCCAGGGCCCACAATGTTTCTCTTATACTAGGGTTCAACAAGCCTGATTTGAGTCTCTGATTTAATCAGAAAGCTCTCAAAAACAAAAGAAGATTAAAATGTCTCACGTATTTCCCTCTTCCATCTAAATATGAATCTCTTCTCCATTTCTAACTAAAGAGGGAAAGGCAGGTCATTAAAAGTTAACAGGATAGGAACAAATCAAATACAGAGTTAACTAAAGTAAGCAATACAGCCTGTGCTTTTATTGCTTTTATTTTTTTATCCTCACCCGAAGACATTTTTCCATTTTTTTGTTCAGAGTTGGAGAGAGAGGAAGAGAGAAAGAGAGAGACATCGATGTGAAAGGGACACATCAAGTGGCTGCCACCCGCACGATCAACCAGGGCCGAGGACAAACTGGAACCGAGGTACGCACCCTTAGTGGGAACCGAACCTGGGTCTCTCTGGACCGCAGGCCAACGCTCTAACTGCTGAGCCAAACTGGCCAGGGCCGACCTGTGCTTTTAAAATAAAGAAAAATATTATGGAATAAAAAATTGTTTCTGGGTCTTAGGAATCTCTCCTCTGAGATAACCAGTGTAGAGATTAGCAATTTGAGAGACAAAGAGGTGCCGCCCTGGCCGGTTTGGCTCAGCGGTTAGAGCGTCGGCCTGCGGTCCTGAGAGACCCAGGTTCGGTTCCCGCTAAGGGCATGTACCTCGGTTGCAGTTTGTCCCCGGCCCTGGTTGGTCGTGCGGGTGGCAGCCACTCGATGTGTCCCTTCACATTGATGTTTCTCTCTCTCTCTCTTCCTCTCTCTCCCTCCCGCTCTACCTGAACAAAAAATGGAAAAGTGTCCTCGGGTGAGGATAAAAAAAAAAAAAGAGGTGCTGAAGAAAAA